TTTGTGTGTGTGTGTGTGTGTGTGTGTGTGTGTGTGTGTGTGTGTGTGTGTTTTAACGATTTTATGTATTTATTTAAGAGAGAGGGAGACAGCGAGAGCATGAACGGGGGGAGGGGCAGAGGGAGAGGGAGAAGCAGGCTCCCTGATGAGCAGGGAGCCCAATGCGGGACTCGATCCCAAAACCCCAGGATCATGACCTGAGCTGGAGGCTGACACTTCACCAACAGAGCCCCCAGGTGCCTCCTGGAACAGATTTCTCAGCAGATCAGAGTTACAGCAAAGACTCAGAAGCAGAGTAAGATGCGAAGGCAGTAGGGCAAGACCGGACCACACAGGCTGCTGAAGGCCGGGTGCACAGTCACACGGCATCAAGAGGCCAGAGGCGTCCCTGCGTCTCTGCACGGCCCTGCTACCCTAGCACACACCTGTGGCGTTAGAGACCCACCTCCTCCCGGTTACCCACCCCCATCTGCGGTCTCCCGGACGCACACACGGAACAGAGAAGAGGTGTCGTAGGCGATCACTGAGGACTCTGTTGCCTCCCCCTGAGGCGGCCGTGGGGAAGGTGGTGGTTTCAGAGCCAGCGGTGCATGGGCTGGGAGAGGCGGCAGGGAGCCTCCCGCGACCGAGATGGCAGCGCACAGGGAGGGAGGGGGCGCCGAGGCCCACGGGCTGCCCACTCAGAACCACTGTAATTACCAGAGTTTTCTTAGGGAGTATTTGCCGTCTTACAATCTTTCCAAAGGTCCTGAGTAACGCTAACGGCAGGCGATTAATCAGCGTGGACCATGCGCCTGGCACGGCTCTGCCGCATTTCCCGTGTGCGCTGACCCTCCGAGACAGGAACGCTCGCTAGTCCCGTCCCGCAGATAAGGACACTGGGGCGTGAGCGGGAGTGACGGTCCCAAGCCCCGGGCCAGGCCAGAGGGCCGTTTGGGGTCTGCACCACGCAGGACGGACCAGCCGGAGGTAATGGAATTAATGCATCGTTGGCATTCGAGTCTGGAGACACTGGGCCCCGCCCGTTTGCACCCACTGGAGACGTATCAGTCATTCAAAGTCACGGTCGACCGCTCCCTCCTGACAAGCGCTGGGCACTAGTGGAGGCCACTGCGGGCTCCAGCTCAGGTTCGTGGGTGGAACCCTCTGCCATTTGGTTGCTTTCTTCCACGGCTACAGCTTCGCCTCCACATCATGCCTGGCAGCCGGGCTGGAGTGGGAGCCAGGCGAGAGCCCTGGGCGGGCGCTGCTAACCCGTGGCCAGAGCAGCAGCCTGGAGAACACGCTGCGGGGCCGGTGGGCGGCTGCCCCTGGCGGCTTGGCCCGCAGGAAGGAGCATGGGGCAGGCATGCCGTGGGTCCGTGAGTGAGGCGAGCCCTCGCCTGCTCCCCGACGTCCAGCCCACTGCCACGGGGACGGCTCCTTCCGGAAGACCTGACAATATTCAGAACGTTTGGAAAAGCGAGTGTTCTAAACCGGTCAACGACCTAAACGCCAACGTGGCCACCAAAACTGTGAACGCCTGCCCCCTTCTTGGAAGAGGAGGGGGTCCTGGATCCAGGGATGGTCCCAGAAGTCTGATTTCTCCGTCTCACACCCAAGGGAGGGGTGGGGGTGCGAGCCTTCGCCCCGTCACAGAGACCAGCCGGGACCCAGAGCTGGTCAGGGAAGGTCTGGGTACGGACGCGGTTGCCAGGGCCTCTGTGCCCAAGGGCTGGCAACCCCGGGGCTGGCATGCGTGTGCAAGGACCATGCCTTCCAGGTGGGCAGAAGCAGAGTCCCAGGAGGGCCCCCGGCCACAGGGTGGCACAAGGTCTCCCCAGCGACACAGAGATGGAGTAACGACCAACAAGAAGGTGAAGATGACACAGTAATCATAAACACAGGCTTCAAATCAATTACTTTATTTATATATTTTTTAAAGATTTTATTTATTTATTTGACAGAGAGAGAGAGAGATCACAAGTACGCAGAGAGCAGGCAGAGAGAGAAGAGGAAGCAGGCTCCCCACCGAGCAGAGAGCCTGATACAGGGCTCGATCCCAGGACCCTGGGATCATGACCTGAGCCGAAGGCAGAGGCTTAACCCACTGAGCCACCCAGGTGCCCCCAAATGAATTACTTTAGACAAATCTACTCACTGGGCCACCTTCTCCCCACCCCTTACCCTGCATCTAGGAAAGAGGGACTCTCACGAAGCGTGCCACCGTCGTGATGGTGATGGCTTGGGGCATGAGGTCCCCTGTGTCTACACGGGTGGCCAGCCATGCTCTAAGCTAGATCCCGGCCAACTCAACTGCCAGTGAGCCACTTCTGGGGACACCTGTGTTCCTGTCACTTGCCCCTTCTGGGGTGCCTACATGGTCGGAATTGTCCCCCCCAATTCACAGACCCGCAGAGAGATCATTCTTTGGGCTCCCATGATGCCGGGTGTATGAGTGTGTGTGTGTGTGTGTGTGTGTGTGTGAGTGTGTGTGTGAGTTTGCGTGTGATTACACAGTTATGGTGACACTTACATGGGGGGAATTACTTGTTTCTGAGTCCGCCTCTCTTTCTAAGCAGAGGGCTCTCCAAGGGCAGGGTAGTCTGTCCCCAGTGTGTGCCCGGCAGCCCCCACCCCAGTATCACGAACACAGCTCGCACAAACCCAAGCATGACGCCTGAATGGTTCTCATCGGACCCCCCTGTTCCATGAACCAGCACCTCCCCAGCTTAGAGAGGTGAAAACTCTAAAATGGTGCTTTATTTAAAAAGTCTCCCCATTTCTTCCCTTAGAAGTACAAACACAGCTACTGGGTGTGTGAAAATTGGAACCCGCTCTTCTGCTGTCCTATCTCGTACTCCGCTCTACCATCGAGGGACCAAAATCACAAAAATTACGTCTCAAAGTCTTGTTCACAGAAAAAAGGTCAAAGTGATGTCCCTAAGGGACAAGAAGTTACGAAACGGAGGATTTTGTCAAGAATGAGAAAACGATCGTGCTGGTCTTTAAATTCCCCCACTAAGCACCGGGGTCAGGGTTTCGGAGTTGGGGGGAGTCGGACACAATTTCCTGCCGGGGTGTGTTTGACTTTGTCCCTTCTTCCATCTTAAGTGCACACTGGAGACGTCCACCCTCCCTGCTTTCCCTGGTGAGGTGGGAGCCGCGAGGACGGCTGCGGCAGAGCTGAGGTCCGCGGTCCCCCTGCGCACAGGCCGAGCCACCTGCCGACCCCCCTCGCTGCACCTGCCCAGCTCCCTCGTCCCCTGAGGCGCCCACCATGCCACACTGTACTTGCACCATGATGATGGTCCCTGGCGCAGAGTTTAAACTTCATGCCCACTTCCCGGAGGCGCCAGAGGGAAAAGTGAGGAAGGGGGAGGGACCGAAGCCGGGTACCGTGTCTGTGTCCAGATGGCACCTGGTTTGCCCCCCTCAGCCTCGGAGAGCCTTCTTCTAGGGACACCTGGAAACTTCCCAGGCCTGGTGGCCCGGTGGGGCTCTGGGAAGGCAGCCCTCCCACCACTCCTCACGGTCCCTGGAAAATTCCAGAATTGTTCCCAGGCCCCGGGGCGGCTAGCTCCTGGCCTGACCTCAGTGGCACATGTCCCCTGCCTCCTGGCGTGTCAGAGGGCTGCTTGCTGCCACCCCCGTGACTCCGAGCTGGCGTCGGGGTGGGTGGTGGCACATGCGGGCCGCCGGGCAAGATCCCAGAGCCGGAGCCCGTCTCATCCTCTGTGGAGTCAGGCCTGGGGCCCTGAACTGTGGGAGCCCTTCCTTGGCCCCAGCGCAACCCCAGGCTCAGGCAGAGCCCCTGCGGGGGCCCCCGGTCATGCCCTGGTGGGGGTCGGGCTGGGGACTCAGTGGGTCCATCCTGGCACCCTCCCACACCCTCGGGAGAGGAGCCGTCGCCAAGCCCTCAGAGGGGGATTGAGGAAAATCACCTTCAAGATGGCCTCTTCAAGTTTGGTTTGGTTTATGTGGCCATAAACTATGTGACCATAAACTATGATTTCAGAAACATTCTTATTAGACAACTACTTTTTTAATTGAAGTTGTTATGGAGATGATGATAGAGTCACGTGCGGTCACAGGAACAGTATGGGGGGGGCCTCTGGCAGCTGCCCGTGTTCCCTAAGGAGAGCAGTTTGCCACCGTCCAGCGGCTCCAGCAGGGGTCGGCGGTGATACGGTCCACTGGTCTCTCACCCAGATTTCTTCAGTCCCATTTGCACCCTGTGTGTGTGTATGTGTGTCTGAGGGTGTGTGTGGTGTGTGTGTGTAGGCATGTA